CTACTGATTAACTCTCTTGCCATCAACCGAGCTATCACTATTTCTTATCCTTTTTTTTTTTGGATTACATCCGGGTATTCCCACCACCGATAGCCATGAGACTAATCCTTCGCCCCGGATCAGCACACAAAGCGATAAAGAGAAAAATGTGTATTTTTAAAAGGATATAAATTTATGTGCTTTTAAGAAAAAAATAAACACAAAGAAATATGAATTATATTAAAATAATAAAAGTATAGATCTCATCTCTGTGTTTATCTTTCTTTTATAAAAAAATCTAAGTCTGTGTGTTTTAAAAAAAAATACACGTTTTCCCCTTTTACTATATATGCTTTTACTGAGATATGCTTTTACTATTTCTTATTAGGTTCATAATTGATTGCTTATATATGACGGTGAATTATAAAATAAGATTTCTCTTTTTAATGTTAAAAATAAAAGTTTTCTAACACTAAGTTCTGCTTTGCTTAGTCAATCATTTATTAAGATTAACCACCTGTCATTACCAATTGATTAAACTAGAGCAAGTAATGGACTAATTGATTTGTAGTTAGATTGGGTACTTTAAAGTATTTTGGAAGGTAATGTACCTGATGAAGTAAACACGTACTTCGATTTATTATTTTAATTTTTTTTAATACCAATTTAGCATACATTTAGTATAGAACTCGCAGGATATTATATTTTATATCCCTGTTCAAGTAACATTATGTTTTAGGTTATGTTAATAGCGACGTGTTGATACTTTCCTAATGCTTTGCAAAACTATCTCCAATTTTGAAAACATTGAAGCAAAAGTCATATCCCAACCCTTTTTCCCTACTTAGTATACGCAGTAGGGATAAATGTAACTCCCATCAAATTTTACTAAAACAAGAGCATGAAATAAGCTACTATCTCCACTTTTCTTCCCAATTTCTTAATTAATCAAGTTAATTTGCTTCCTTTCTATCTACTTTTTGTGGAACCTTTAACTCTTTAAATTAAAGCAGTGAGTTATCCCCCCTGCTTTTTTCAACCCCATCCCTGCAACTCACACCTTTAATTTGCTGTGTAAATTAAGTTTCGCTTCTTCTTTCTTAAAATATTCAATCGGTTCATTACTTCACAACTAATCTGATTCGGAACGGGTTTAGAATTAAGGTTTTAAACCCCTCTCAAATATGGTACTGGAGAGATTCGAACACATGCTCACACCCTCACCTGCTTAGCAGCTCCCATGCGCCAACTGAGCTACTACTATTTGGTAATTAAGCTTCGCTTTACCTCATACATATTCAGCATTTTTAACTTATTTATTCGATTTTACAATTTTGATAGACTTGAAAGTTTTTAATGGTTGAACTAATTGAATTGAATTTATGTAAAGATAAATAATAATTCCCTTACGTTATGGGTTTGAATCCTAGGTGTACAATTATGATGGAGCCGGTTTTGCTAACAAAGTACAGGTTAACCTTAGAATAATTTATAGGTGCATGACATATTTAGTCTAAAATTTAACCAAACTTAACTTATTTAGACCATATTCAAATCCAATTTTTTAGCCAAAAGCTACATATTGGTTTTACTCTCCACCTCAACTGTTTATTTGACAATGGTAATTTATTGAATTATATTTATTAATTAATTATTAATATTAAATAACCTATGGTTGTCGTATGCATAAAAATTAATCGTTGAGAAAAGAATGAGATTTCTTAATTTTACAACGGAATCAAAAGATCTTACAACGAAATCATGTTGTAGGAAACTTTAACATCATGTCATTCTCACAAAAAATGATGGTCCACCTTATTTTATTTTTTAGCTTTCTTTTTGAGTGGGACCCACATGAAATATATTATAGTAACATGACACTACAAGTTTCCTACAACATGACATATATAAAATCCTATATATATATATATATATATATATATATATATATATATATATATATATATATATACTCAAATTGTTTTAATCAATAAATGAAATTTTTAAACAAGTAACGTTTATTAGTCGTTTCAGTCATTTTGCGCTACTTATTTAATTCAAATTAATAATTTATGGAAGGCGGTTATATTCATTATTATTTTAGGTTTATTATTCTTATTAATGATAGTTAATTTTTTCATTTTTTAACCGTTAATTTTAAATTAATTCAATGATAATTAATCATATAATAAAATGTTAGTAAGTATAAAGACGGAAAAATGGTTCACCGAGTTTTGGTTCCAGAAGATAAGTACTATGAATTAAATAAGTTATCCAACATCTTTTGTTCGATTAACTTAATGCTAGTAAAAGCCCATCCTGCTTGATGTACAAATATGGTCAGCGTTATAAAATATGAAAAATAATACATGAGATCTCAATGAGTTGTTTATTGCATTTAGTTATAAAGATGGAAAAATTTCCTTTCAAACATGAACGCGCTCCATTATCAGTAAATGTCCACACTCTTATTAGTTAATTATTACCGACTGCATGATAATTAGTCAAAATGTTTACTTGTTTGCCTCTAGTAAATTGTTGAGGGTATATTAAAAACAGAAAAATTAATGAGTGATATTTATTTCTCACAAGTCACAATATTTATCACAACGGTTATGCTAAAGAAACAAAGACTTGCTTAATTATTATTGTTTAGAATCTAAAATGTGGTCGTAAATACTCGTGCATTCCGATCCTAGGATACATTTAGCTATATTTTTTAAGACTTTAATTTCCTTTTTTTTTTGGTTGCTGAACTCTTTAGATTGCAAGATTAAGATTAGGATTATATTTCTCAATGGGGTGTATTATTTCAGTGTAATGATGAATCATGAGGTGGCGTTATGGACCAAAATTCAATGGAGAATCTTAGGTGAAGGTAATACGTGAGCACGCGGTGGCTTTGAAGAAAGCTAGGTAACATCTATGTGATTACTGATTAGTAAAGAAATGGCGCATCTTGAGAGAGATTTATAGGTGTAAAGATTTTCCAATGATAAGTGAGAATATGAACCTCAAGCGTGAAATGTGATTGTGTAAGAGAATGCAATCCTCAGTTACCAGAAGTGGTGTAAATAAGTTTGATTGAGTTAGGCTTTTGATCTAAATAGGTTACTTTGGTGTAAAATATTTTAGGTCTGTCCTGACTTGTTAACTTTGTATAAGCTTAAATTATAAGTTTAATTTGATTTATATTTAAAAATAAAAACCTTGACCTATTATCCTATTTAAGCTTTTTAGACATTCAAAAATCAAAAAAATTAATTAAAATAATGATTTATTTATTTTATTTAAAATAAATAATATGATATAAGCTGATCTGTAAGCTTATAAGTTCGGTGTGTAAAAGAAAGTATATGGCCTAATTTTTAAATAATTTTTTTAAAATTCAAACTTATTCTATTTAATTATATATAATAGGTTAAGTCTAATTTGACGTAGGACGAGCCATAGCCACTATTAAGCCAACTAATCTATTTAAATCCCTAATTACTAGAATTAAAGTATCCCGTAATTACTGACTCATTGAACTCGAAGAGTGTGGCCACTCCAAAACAATTGATTTTCAAAAATTATTAATAATATTATTGTTAATAGGAAGACAAACATGATTTATTCTAAATTTTCATGTTTCATTGAAGGGTCCTTTTTTGTCTGTTACTGCAATTCTTTTTTCTGTTATTAATTATAATTATATATTTTGAAGAATACACATAATTATGATAGAAAAATTATTTTTTTCTCTTCTTTACATCAACCAATAACTTTTGAAGATTTTTTTTTTAATATTGTAATTATATAATTCTTAAGATATATAATTATAGGGTTTTATAAGAGTTACGTTGTAGGAAAAGTGATTGTGTTATGTTATAGAGATTCGTTTTGCGTGCCAAAGTTTTTTTTTGCTGCGGGTCCCACAAAATGTTGTGTGTGTAGGAAAATTTTTGTGGTCATGTTAAATGATAAACCCATAATTATAATCGGTAGGAAGATATATATTTTTTTTTTCCAGCGAAGTAGATTTCCCTTCATTGAAAGCTAAAATTAGTTACAAAGGAGTACAAAACACTTGACCCACATTTTCGTACCAGAGTTATATGCTTTAGAGAGTAAAAAATTCAAAAGCTGCTAAGTAAAAGGAGTCATCTCATCGGTCACTCTTGTCTTTATCTGAAAAGGACTAAGGCTAGCTGAAGCAATGCCATGCAAAATGTGCAAGCCGTGGTCTACTGTAGACTCTAGAGTCTTTTAAAATCATAAATTGATTGGATAGAGAAAGTGGGTAAACTGATTAAAAATCATAGAGGCTGCTATAGTATTTCCAAAAAAAAAAAAGTAGAGGCTGCTATAGGCCCTGTATTATAAGCCTTCTTGAAGTAAGATGCGTGAAGAGGATAAATGACAATATAGAAACACAGAATGATTTTTTCACCAAAAAAGAAACACTCAATGATTTAATAAAGATGTCTTTGTTTTTTAATAATTGAATTAATAGGAAGATCGCCTTCAAGGTTGAAATAATTAAAAGCGCAATTTCACAATTAGCCACCATCAAATCTAAATCCTCGTTCTAAACCCCATTTAGGTCATTTATAAAAAAAAAGTCAGAAACACACTTCTTGACATGCTCTTTATTATTAGATAAATTTCCATAAAATTTATCAAATAACATCAAATATTTACAAAGAGTGTATTGTTATTTGAGAGTTTTCCTTTCCATGAAGGTGAATTTTGGAGTATGTAATATTCTCTTAATATTTCTTAACAATTCAGAAAAAGAAATTTAATTGAAAATGCTTTCACTTTCAAGTAATAGTTTTGTATGCTAAATTATTAACTTTTAATTAGAAAACCCAGGCAGGGAACATGAAAGGAGAAAACCTGGTTGGAATTGGAATCTGAATTATGGTATGGTTCAAAACAAACTTACCAAGATGATTAGGTGGTGTTGAATGGGGTAAAAAAGGAATCTATATAAAGGGTAGCACTTGCTTCACTAAGAGCATAAGACTCACTTCGTAGTGAGGTTGAGGAAGTGAAAAAAAAAAACATGGGGTCACTAATGGCCTCTGCTACTCTGACTCTTGTGTTGGCTATAATTTCTCTGAGCTTGCCACCTCAAATCTCAGCAGACAACTACATGTATTCATCTCCTCCACCACCCAAGAAGTACCCTCCGGTGTCTCCTCCTTACCACTACGTTTCACCACCACCACCTCCAGTCTACTCTCCACCTTACTATTATCACTCTCCACCTCCTCCACCAAAGAAGCCTTACTATTACCACTCTCCACCACCACCAGTGTACTCTCCACCTAAACATCCTTACCACTATCCTTCACCACCCCCTCCTAAGAAGCCATCATACAAATACCCATCTCCACCACCACCAAAGGCCCCATACCATTACTCATCTCCACCACCACCACCAAAGAAGCCATACAAGTACTCATCTCCCCCACCTCCAGTGCACGTACTTCCTTATCCTCACCCTCACCCTCACCCTCATCCTCACCCATACCCTCACCCTCACCCTCACCCACCACCTAAAAAGCCATACAAGTACTCATCTCCTCCCCCTCCAGTCCACCCTTACCCTCACCCTCACCCTCACCCACACCCTCACCCACATCCTTACCCACACCCACACCCACACCCACACCCTTACCCAGTTTATCACTCTCCACCACCTCCAAAGAAGCCTTATAAGTATCCATCTCCACCACCTCCGGTACACGTGCACCCATACCCGCATCCTCACCCTTACCCTCATCCTCATCCTCATCCTCATCCATACCCTCACCCTCACCCACCTCCTACGAAGCCTTACAAGTACTCATCTCCTCCACCTCCGGTGCACGTTCTCCCTTACCCTCACCCTCATCCTCATCCTCATCCTCATCCATACCCTCACCCTCACCCTCCCCCATCCCCGAAGAAGCCTTATTACAAATACCAATCTCCTCCACCACCGGTTCCCAAGTTACCTCCCTACATTCCTCACCCAGTTTACCATCATCATCCTCCACCCCCTCCATACAAGTACCCATCTCCTCCACCACCACCATACTATCCACATCCATCTCCAACACCAGCCCCATACAAGTACCCATCTCCTCCACCACCACCATACTATCCACACCCAACTCCAAAACCAACCCCAACCCCATACAAGTACCCTTCTCCTCCACCACCCCCATACAAGTATCCATCTCCAACACCAGCACCATACAAGTACCCTTCACCTCCACCACCCCCATACTATCCACACCCAACTCCAAAACCAACACCAACCCCATACAAGTACCCATCTCCTCCACCACCCCCATACTATCCACACCCAACTCCAAAACCAACCCCAACCCCATACAAGTACCCTTCTCCTCCACCACCCCCATACTATCCACACCCAACTCCAAAACCAACCCCGACCCCATACAAGTACCCTTCTCCTCCACCACCCCCATACAAGTATCCATCTCCAACACCAGCACCATACAAGTACCCTTCTCCTCCACCACCTCCATACTACCCACACCCATCTCCAACACCAACACCAGCACCATACAAGTACCCATCTCCTCCACCGCCCCCATACTATCCACACCCATCTCCAACACCAACACCATACATTCCACACCCAGTTTACCACTCTCATCCACCACCTCCATACAAGAAGCCTTACAAGTACATGTCTCCTCCTCCACCTTCTCACGGTTACGTCTATGCATCACCTCCCCCTCCTTACCACTATTAGATAGCGGTTTAGCATACCTCTCTCTATGGTAAGCTTCATTATACAATCTACATTATCATCTAATCCCAACACATTTTCATCTTCTGAGATCCAACTCGATCGATCTTGCATGTTTTATGTTTCCATTACTGTGTAACTGTAATTAAGGTTTATTAATTAATCAAATAAGAGCATCTTAGTCTGCTTTAACGTTTCACTTAAAAATGATTTTTCTTATTTAGATTTAGTTGAGGACAGATCAATGACTTTGACTGACATATTAATAATATATGCGTGTTGGTAGGATATGAAGAATATGTGCAAATAAAGAAAGCGACGGAGGGAAGAAGCGCTTCATAATACAAGAAAGAGAAGAATGGAAGCAAAGTTTCCGCGTTTTGTCTTCGCAAGAAGTGTTTAATTTCTATGATAGGATTGAATTCGGTCTTTTTCTATGCTCTTTTGTTTTGTTTATGAATTATGTATTTAAACAGTTGTAAAGCGCTGCTATGCTATGGTCCAACTCAAAGGGACACGCACTCCTGTTGATGGATGGTACATGAATGAATGCAATGTAGTTTTCAACCTGCTGTGTTTGCAGGGGTTGTAAAACTAAATTATAAATAATAATAAAATAATTATATTTTCTCTCAAATTTGTGACTCAAATTAAATTGGTTTACAGTACTCCATATTGTTTTGTCTACGTGCACAAACATGTTGTTGTAATTTCCGGGCACGAATAAAGATGGTGACAGAAAGAAACCCGACATTGTACACTTGTTCGCAAGACTTGGTTGAGCTTGACACTTGTTTTTCCGTTATTTTATTTGTATAGATCTATATGTACGCGAGTTACGCGCGTGAATAATTCCTTCTGCTAAAAATAATCTAATTAAAATGGAATTAGATCCAGTCAAATTTCACCGGAGGGTGATCTTGAATTTTTGTATTCATCTCTTTTTACAAAATAAATTCACATGAGATATATACGAAAATAAAAAATTCACATAATTCTTTCACGTGAATTTTAACAACAGAGAATTCATTCCCATTTATAATACATTTTCCTTGTAAGTATTCCCAAAAAAAAAAAAGCATTTCCCCTGTCAGTTGTAAGTCATAAATCAACGAGAATATCTCGTATTAACATTTTACATGATTAAACACTTATTTAATGCATGTGAATGTGAACAGAGAGACATCGATTTCCTAAACTATTAATCTAAGCTTCTTACTGAAACAGAGTTAGGTGACAACTTCCGACCTCCTTTCAATAGGGTCTTAATAGAATGTGTGTCCAATTATTTAATATGCGGTTGATAATCTAAATATATGGTTGTTAGAAAAATATTATATAAAATAAGTTTGTGGGATATTATATAAAAATATAAATAAAAATTATTAATATTCTTTAATTTAATCCTTTAAGTTTTTGGGTTAAAAGTGAATTTTTAATTAGAGGTGACAATATGGGTTGAACCCGGCAGGTCAACTCACCAACCCGTCAAAACGGGGTTGATTGGGTTATAAATTTCAATCCACCAACCCACCTCAGCCTAACCAGCTTAGTTGTGGGTCAAAACGGATTGGAAGTGGATCAGAGCAGGTTGTCCTGCGGGTCAATTTTTTATTTTTTTTACTAATAGGTAGTATCATATCCTTATTGAAACAGCGGGTGCATTGAACTTCAATGCCGGAGGAAGAATGAGACTAATCCCCCATTCGAGAATAGAAGCACAGCTCCTCTAACCTCAAAGATTTTTCAAGAATTTGCTTGAGACAAGGTTTGAACCCCTGACTCAAGCAAATCATTGGAAGCTCAGCTACCAACTGAACTACCCTTAGGGGTTAAGAAAAACTTTATTTATAACAAAGGTTATCCATATATGGAGACAAAAATAAATTCCTAAAAAATATCTTACTGGATATTAGTATACATTTAGACTTGAGATTGAAAAAAAACTAAAGGGATTGTGAAATGAAAATAAGTAATATTATAAAATTAATAAAATAATTTATTTTTTATATTTAATTTTTTTTTAGGCGGGTTGACACGCCAACCAATCACAAAACGGGGTGGGTTAAAATTTTCAACCCATATGAAATGCGGGACAGGGCAGGCCAACCCATTTTGCCACCTCTATTTTTAATGGTATCAAAGTTTTTCATTTAATCACTAATTTAATCTTTGGCCTTCTATCCTTCAAGTTTAACTCTCGTCGAGTTAAAAAAAAAATATTATATCAAGGGAAAAAGAAGTACAATATTACGAGGAACGATATTGTGACAATCAAGTTGTGTTACTACCAAGTGACTACCAATCAATCTCACCGTTAGATCAATTATGTTGATCCAACGGTTATATTTATTTCTATCTTTGTATGGTCATGATTCTCCAAATTTAATACTTTATGTTTATTTTTACCTTTGTATGGTTATGATTTCCCATATTTAATGCTTTCACTTTAAATATGGGGAATCATGACCATACAAAGATGGAAATAAATATAACCGTTGGATCAACATAATTGATCTAACGGTGAGATTGATTGGTAGTCACTTGGTAGTAACACAACTTGGTTGTCACAATATCATTCCCTTAATATTATAGGAAAGTTGTTAGGTTAAGTTATAGAGATAGAGATTGTGAGACTCACATTTATTTTTATTTTTTAAAAAAATATAGGTCCCGCAATCTCTATTTCTATAACATAACTTAACAACTTTCCTATATCATTTGCTTTTTTCCCCTTATCAAATATATAAACCGGTAAAGTGCTTTCACATCACAATCTTTGGGTTTAAGGGTCGATTTGGACGAGCCCCTTTTTTTCTCCAAAAATTATTTTTTTTTAAGAAAAAAAAGTACTTCTCACTTTAAGTTCATTTGAATGTTTGTTTTAAAAAAAAAACAGAAGTCACAAAAAAGTTAAAAATTTACTTTTTTTTCTTAAGCTAAAAATTGTAACTTAAAAAAAAAAATCAAAAGCCAAATATTTTTTTCCAAAACTAAATATTTTTATAAAAATATAAATAGCTTTAACTTTTATAAAAAATACTTTTAAAATAAGGAAGAGACAAAAACTACTTTTTTGTGGAAGGCGAAACAAACGGACTCTAAATGGATGTTTATAAAGGTAATAAAAAGCAAGAAAAGAGAGTGAATAAATTGTGAGAAAAAATAAAAATGATTAATATCAAATAACTAAAATTAAAATCAATTTAAGTCCCAAAATGGCACACAAGTTTTCAATGGATTTTTGGGTCACAATAAACTTTGTAATTTAAAAAGTAAAAAGATGACTGATTGATCAGTAATACAAACACCGACAAGTCCTCAATCTATAATTGTCATCTGTTGACAAGACAAATTTGTTCTCCCCGATTTGTTGATCAGATTTCAATCTTTACTAATGGAAAATTATTAAAAACAAAATTGATCTCAAAGCTATACTTTTAAATTAAGGTTTAAATGTATTTTTTGAGATAATTTTATATTATATATATATAAGTATGTGAAATTCATATAAAATCATGTGAAAAAAATGAGCCTCGTGTGTGGGAGATAATTTTTTTTTTTACAATATGAGAAATATTAAATTCTTTAAATAATAATATAATAATTATTGTGCATCAAATAAATAAATATAATCATAAATCACTCTTCAATGTGGGAACCCATGGTCTGATTTGTCTTTTCCTTCTTCTTTTTTTTAATCCTAGTTGTCCTTGTTAATTTGTTAAAGAAAAGAAAGGATTGCATTAAATATACTTGACAATGAATCAGATTTAAAGCAAAAAAAAGGCCAAACAGTTGGTATAGTGAGCTGTGGTTATGGCAAGTTTGTCACTTTCTCTTCGTTTTCCTAACACCTTTGGGCAAATCTTATCACAAACATTATTGACATATAGAAAAGGCCCTACTATCCGACTTATCCTTTGTTAGTATGCCACTCGACTCATATGGATTGGTGAGTTTGGGATGCTGAATTTAAATGTTATTTGTTCTCATTTTCTCTTCTCATATGAATATAAAAAGTGTGCATGAAGCGGTTCATAATCGATTTTGTCAAAAACCGAACCGAACCGGTTTTTAATGGTTTGATTTTCAAATCGAACCAATTTTTTTTTAAAATCGGTTTTTAATTTGTCCAAACCGGTTTAAAACCGGTTTTGAAATCGGTTTATGGTTTTGAACCGGTTTTAATTCAAAACTGATTTAAAATCAAAATCGGTTATGAACCATAAACCGGTTATCAAGTTCAAAACCGATTTTACAACAAATTAAAAACCGGTTTTTGATGTGCTGTGTTATTTTATTTTTTTGAAATAAAATAAAAAATACCTTTCTTGTTTCTAGTTTAGGAATTTCTAGTTTTTAGTTCTTGTTTTGCACTTGGATCTATATATCGACTCAGTTAACAATAGATGTTGTTGGTATAAGAGACAGTGACCTGAACTCCGAAAAATCTCTTGTCCAACTATTTCTTCTTGCTTTTTTCTAAGCTACTGTGAAGCTGAATCAGACTTGGATATTCTTAATTCATTAACAAGGTATTCATGATACTTAGTATCTCCATAATTGGGTCATTGGATTTTTTATCAACAGTGCAGGACGAGATAGGAAAAAGAAAAAGAGCCAATTCAAAACAGTGGATAAACAGAAACATTGCCAAATAGATTGTACGAAATAACTGCGTAAAACAAAAAACTGGACCGCATTTATATTGAAAACTAAAAATAAAAAATGATTAAAGAAAAAAATCGGATATGATTTGGTTATCCAGCATATCTAAACCATTTGATACATGGATATCCAAACCATATCCAAAATAAAAAAGTGGATAATTTTTTTGAACTGTTTTAAAAAAAATCAATTTTTTTAATTGGTTTGGTTGAATTTTTAAAATGGTTTGGATCATTTGGACATTTTGCACATCCCTATGAATCTTCTTCTTTTGCAGATATATAGATATCAAAAAATAATTAGCTAAGTAAATAGTAGAACAAAAAATGAACTAATTTTTGTTTGAATTCTTTTCTCAGTGTGTAAACCTGAAAGGTTGTTTGTGCTTATATATATATATATATATTTTTTTTTTTTGGGCTTTGGATTTCTTCAGCGACAGAAGATCACCGTTCTTTCCTACAGAGAGTAGACAAACTGGGCCCCACCAAATTTTGTATAAAATAAAATAAAATGTTTGGCACGTTTTTTGAAGTATGAGTGGCAGAAGATTAACAAATTCCTATTACATAAGAATTAATTTTGCATATATATATAGGGTTTTATTTTTCTTATGTTGCATGAGACAAGTTGTCTCATGCAACACACAAAAAGTGAATGGGACCCACTAAAAAAGAAGAGAGAGAAAATAAAAAAGCGGGTCCCACCCACTTTTTGTGTGTTGCATGAAACAACTTGTCTCATGCAACATAAGAAAAATAAAACCCATATATATATATATATATATATATATATATATATATATATATATATATAGAGGATCAAGATCATTTTATATCGGTGTAAGTTATACTCTCAATTTCAATCTTAATCATTGATCTTATTTGTATCTAACGATTTACTTAATTGATACTGAAACCGTTAGATTCAAGCAAATCAATGATCAAGATTTAGTGTGAGACTTCT